GTGACCGGCTTTCACGGAATGAAGCTATTTGAACCTGCACGATCTAGTATAAACCCGGTAAGAACCTTTGCTTCGGAAAAACACAAGCCACTATTCAACTATACGGCAGGTATGAAACAATGTCTTGGCAATTCTTTTAAAACGATCTTTCTGCCGAAGCATTGGCACTCTTCGCCATCTATAACTAAATATCTTTATTGGATGAGTTAATAGGCTAAGCTGGACGTACTGGTAAGCAATCTTGATACCAACCATATCAATTAAAGGGCCATGTACACAATGCTATTGTATTCTACAAAGCATGTTCCGGCTGACTTTTATACAGATTCTCATAACTAATAATGAAACCCAGTATAGTAAGCCGCTGACATATACAAATGAATCCCATATTAATTACAAGTATTTACGTATGTACAACGTCTGTTTGCAGGATGCTTGCATTAGGCTAAAACATAATTAATCCATTGATTCACGCAGCATTGAGGTCAGGACTTACAGATAAAAACGAATCAGCTCAGAGCGAGCGACTTACAACAGATGTTTTGCCCATTTGAAGTAAATTCATCAAATCGTATATACAGATATTGAGTTCGTGACAACAACGTTCGCTTGTATAACAACTGTCTCGTAATCCGTGCAAGTTGATGCGGCGGGATGTAGACGTTGCCTGTGTCAGACCCTCTAGCTAGCGTAAGGATACTCTTTTACGTTCTCATACTTCTTATTCTACTCTTTGTAGATGCATCTGATACCGGCTACAGTAGCTTCAATGTCGAGTTTAAATAAGTAACATTTGTTGCGCGCGAATGATGTCGTCGCGTGTGGGCCTGCGATGTTTCGTTCATTTATTGTACAGGCGAGTGTCCCTACTCGCTTTAGACCTCTGGTCGTTTAATGGCTGTCTAATACATACTCAGAAGCGACTCCTCGTTCTTAATCCCGTAATTAGTGGCTCTTTACATAGCTTCTCGAATTCGGTGGTTCTTTTGTACCGCATCGACAGGCTCCCGTGCGATACTGTCCTTATTCTTAGACGTAAACTAATTTTGCTTTTTTTGCAACCTCCGATTCCTCACAATTTCTGCATGACAATTCCTTGTGTCGAATTCTGCAGTGATGGGATATTTTGCTTTGTTTTTCTATGCAAGATGGCGAGTGTCCTTTTTACAGATCATAGGCTAAACGACTCCCATGTATGTGATACGTGATCATGTCAACGTTTATCTTTACTGAAATGGCTTAACCTGAAGATCAGGTAAAACCGCGTAGGGCCAGCGTCGCATATCCAGCAGTGGTTTCGGCTACGCCATAGTTGCTAATTCTGTCTTCGCTTTTTCCTGATTTCGTCATCGGCTCCATCGCACGCACCGTATCCTTTCGTACTTACCAATTAGTGAATGATTAATAAAATCTATCGTATCAGCCCACGTTGTCCGCAAGCTACGACGCCCGAACGCACCATGCGACCACATTTGATAGTGAATATGTGTGTTCAATTGATCGAACCGACGGGCCTTTGTGCCAAAAATATACTAGTATTGCGCGCGGGTGTTATGGCCTCTTGCTCCACTTTTGCCATAAGGATAGCTAAATTGCTTAGCTGGTCAAGCCGAAAACTACTTTATCCATCTCTTTGATGACTCATATCATTTAGAGAAGTTTGGGCTCGCCATTACGTTTTACTTGTTCTAAGCACCGTTTGGGTTCATGTGTTCTTCGGCCCAATATATTTAGTGCAGGTCTGACGTGTCTAGTAGCTGTAGCCGGTCGTTTTTACCGGCCTCTTCTACCTAATACTTTATTACTCGTACGACGCTGGATTAACCGTCAATTAAATAGATACATCTAGCGTTTTCGGTATTGTCGTGCTTTGCAACCGATTGAGACATCTTGTCCCTTCCTCGACTTTTACATCGACTTTCCCCAGAATATGTAGTGCTTTAAAAGACTGTCTGTGGCTGCAAGTCAACAATTCTCTTGCCGATGCTAAAAAAATCTCCAGTGTTGGGTTTGTCTTTTTTCAGTGTCCATGGGCACGCACTTAGCTAACTATATATATGCTACAGGAAAGCTTTCATTGGCGCAATCTATAGCCTAACTGTGGGTGTTTTGTGATTCTGTCGTTTGCGACCAGCGTCTAATCTTTGAGACTGGGTTGTTTTAAGAGGCTATACGTGCTTAAATTAGTCCACCCAAGAAAAGGGCCATTCTACCGTCTCCATCGCTCTGTGCCATGATGGTATTTTCAAACGCAACGTTGACAGTCACATAACCTTTGCACCCGAATTGCTCGTCACTTTTTGCGTGCTATTTGTACACAGCTGAATCATGAACGGTACTTGCCTTTGGTGCTGTGCGACTTTAGGTCATCACTATACAGCAGATCCCGATGAAGGGATACCATCGTTTCACAAGTTTTCGTTCGCTTACTTGTTCCCGGGCAATTTAGTTCGCCCTGATTATCGCTGCTAGCATAAGACCTTTGGTTTATAAGTGGACTAATAGGTAATAAATTCTATAAGCGAAGGAACAATCTTCCAGCTACCCGCTATCGTTCCATAGAAAAAAAGAGCAAGGTGTAGAGGTAAAAATAAGCCAAAGGTAACCAACCTCGCAATGTTACCATCCGATATCGTAAGTAGGTCGGTTAAAATACGGTATCGATTTAGTTTTCTGAGCGTGCCAACTACACAGCGGCGTCGCACGTCAGTTGCGCAATTTTTGTATCACGACACCGCCTAGTACAGCGACGGTAAGATATGTTCTACTAATGAACTATTACGTGGCGGCATCTGTAAGGGCACAAAAAAATATCCCCAGATAGTAGCAGTGGTGACAACGCCCGTATTTTGTCATCAAAGTCGAAACAGCGCACCTCCTGAGATGGATAGTGTCACCAAAGAGACTGTCTGCCCTTCATAGATTAAGGGCCTTCTGCTTCTACTGTCGCTGCAAAACGGGCTGATAGCCGATCGATATTGTTAAAACACTTAGCAATATCCATGATGCCCGTCCCTTTTACCTGAGCAAAGTCACTTCCATTTATAGGGGCACAACTGTAAAAGGCACGCAGAGCGACGGCGAACCCCCCAAAAGACTGTTGGTTTTCTTTCCTACCTGCTGTCGCCGGCTCTCCATTTGCGTATCCAGATGTAAGAGATGTATGACAGCTATACGAGTGCGAATCCTGCAATGCCAGCATCGCCACTATTCCTAATATTGGGTATCGATAAAGACTGTGGCTTTTGTTCACTAAAGGCTTGTCTTTGATTGGATGTATGACGACACGCTCATTCGCCCGTCTGCTACGTAGGGCAAACTGCAAAACAGTCGAAAATGTGCTATGTATATTGCAAACACTTTCTGCCGTGTTTTGGAAAGCGAAAATTGAGTATCATCGAAGAGTCTGCATCAATATGCTGCTTTAGAAACAAAGTGCTATAAAATGCTTTTGGCGGTCAACGCTGAGTGGTACCGACGGACAAGACAACCTCAAGGTCAAAGCGAGTGTGAACGAAAGCGTACAAAAAAAACTAGCACATGGTTATCATCTGTGTCTATCATAAAACTGTTTAAAGAAAACGTTTGAAATCGAAAACGCTGCTGCAAGAACTGTGATGAAGGGCCTTAATTTCAAGCAAAAAAAAGACCCATCACCGTCATCTGTGAGGATCTGATTCAACGGGCCATTACGAATACGATGTGGAAAGAATTAGTTCAATTGTAAAAATATCGAAAAAAAACGACTCCACATGGAAAAAAGCTGCAGGATTCAAATAAATTTTCTCTCACCGATTTCTTCGATTACCAGCGAGTTACGTACTACGTACTTATGCTGAGTGGTTTTACTATCAGCGGAAAATATTTTCAACGAAATTGCCTAACCAAAATAGGTCTGAACTCGTATTTTTTTTTATCATGGTAATACATCGGCTCACACATAGCTGGGTAAATCGTATTTTGGTGGAGAACTCGAATGTCCGTTTTACTTCGATGTTCGTATCTGCCAGGCGTACCTCTCTTACTTTTCTTTCGTTTTGCGTGATTCCATTTTAGGGACTTCTTAAAATAGAACCACTGGGATTTGAACGAGCGAGATGTACATGGTTGGTGTAGGGTTAAACCTTTCCTACTTCTCTGACCAAAAACTATATACCCTGTGGAAACAAATATGTTCCGAAAAACAAATTGTTGATATACTGAATTTGTGGAACGCTCGTCGATACATTGATCTTCCATCGCATCATGAAGCCGTTTAAAAAGAGGTTAGAAGCCAACATAACTTGTAGAAGCATCGCTTCTACAAGTTATGTTAGCTCTTGCACAGTTATTAATATATTATATATAGTGGTATTGCTATTATTAAGTTTATTGATGAGTGCTCGTGATGCCTGTCGTTAATGGGTGGGCACATCGATGAAACTGGAAGCACAGCCACCTGATCCTGAATCGTAGATAGGCCCACGTTTTTGAAAATGTTGGATTGACCGAATAGACATAACAGTGCGAGGTGTAGAATTTACCTGTTGTTATGGTCAATTCTACCTTTCTACTTGCTAAAAGGTTCATTAGTAAACCATGAATGCGGTGCAGCCATTGATAAGCAGTCTCTGCTGAACTTGCAGGGCACTCAGATGGACTTACGGTTGCATATCTACTTCGGCGTATGCGTACTGGAGACCGTATCTGTGTAACTCTGAACATTTATCGTTCAAGTTCACCCTTCCGAATTACTCGATCAAGATTCCCCTGCTCTTGTCGCTTCAGCGAGCGTAGCATTGGCGTACATTTAATCTGCAATCTTATCGGGTTGTCGAATAGTATCGTCGGACGTTTTTGCGCCAAAATTAAAACAAATCTTTTCTTTTTTTTATTTTCAAGTGTTATCACTGAGCTAGTCATGCGCCATTTTAATCGGTGGCCTTCTGCCTTTTTTCTAGTAACATCATAATACCACGATTGTAGAACTCTAAAAGTACGATAGGAAAAATTGTTACAAGTGATTTTTGTATGCCTCTATTGAAACCAAATAAACATCATTAAGGGAGTTCTATAGGGACTGAAACAGGTCACAGTCTAATGGCACAAAATGCGGGCTAGATGGCGGATTCATTGACATCTTCCATCTGAATTCTCAGGAAGATACATGTGGTCTGGCATTGTTCCTGTCCGTCAGTTCCGATCGTTTTTTCTCAGTGGCTTGTTGTAGTCTTGTTAGTTGCAGATGGTGAAGGTCGGGGCCAATTGTTTTTCTAGGCGTTAGCGGTTCATGATGCACGATTCCCCCCTAATTCCACTATACAGGTAGTATCACTTTCTTTGACATCAGTTAGAGCTTTGCCACATACTATGGGGCGCATTTCTTTTTATCTGCTCATTATTGTCGCATGTAATTCACTTTGATCAACGGCTGTAGAAATGGCTTGATTTCGTTGTTGTGGAGCTTTACTTCAAATAATATAAAATTACTAGTTAGCGAATGTTTAGCTTTTCTTCTTGCTCTATCGCGATGACTTTTTCAATTTTTTTTTTATATTTGCTCGACCCTTACAAGGAGCATCTTTTAATATGTAATATAAATGATTTGGGCGTCTTTCGATAACGTATCTTGAGCATGACTGGCGTACGCTGTCTTATAGAGCTGGATAGCATTTGTACTTTTTTTTTCTGTCGTAATGAAATTGTAAAATAACGGGAATTTCTGCAGAAATTTCACTTCAGATACAATTTTTCAAACGGACGCGACGCGCCTCGTAATACCTGAGATTTGTCGCTTTAAAGCCATCTAACTAGAAAGACGGCCACTATTATGCTTTGGTGTCTCCTTCATTAACTCTAACGTAACGTAGTAATATATTGGTGCTGTCATACCACTGTATAACCTTAAAGTGTGTCTAGGAAAAGCTCCTAGTGAGGGAGTACCCTTGTTGCTATCACCTGTGATGTATAAACTGGAACATATAGTACAAGTGTATTGATATCATGTGATACGTACCGAAATACAGAGTAAAATGCTATGGCCGCAAACAATCGATGCCATGTATGTGTAATTCGGGTCTTCAATCCTGGACATATATGTCTTAGATTTTCGAAAACTACTTGTACCAAAACCTAGCACTGCTTATAATTGTCTCGTTTAGATAGAAGACAAATAGTAGTTCTCGATAGTTCAGTGCTGACGTGATCGCCGCTTCAAAAGAGAGGAAATACAGTGGTATTTTTCTGGGCGTGAGAACTTTTCGATCTACCAATAAAGATCCGAATCTTCTCTTGCGTAGTTTGTCCGGATTGCTTCTATTGAGACCCTATACAAAATAAAAACAGCTAATCGAAGCAGCGTTACTGCAGGCCTATCGTACGAAGGACGGGTGAGAGTTTGTTATAAAAAAGTAAACAAACCAGATATTTGATCGCATCTAATAATGAATTATTTTAAAAGCGGACCATCAGTCGATTAATCAATCGCAGGCGAACTTCAAAAACCTTCAAGCTTCACTTCCCGATTCGAGTGCTACCTCAGTTACCACCGATGATGAGCGTGCGTTGCATTTCGGAACTGCGCATTCGACCGTTCCGGTTCCTAGTCGCCTAATTTGATAACTGTCTTCCGACAAACTCATGGAAGACACGTAAAATCAGCCGCACTTCTATAGAACTTTGCGTGGAGCCACTACGACGCTTACGCTACACAGAAACGGTGTAGGAGTCATCCAGTTCGATCTATTTTTATCGTAGTGAACGGTGATGAACGTAATAACACGACCAATATTAGTTAAAGTTGTGAAATGGTCGTAAATTCTAGGCGGATGAGATAATTTTGTTCTAGTAGTACTCTTTTTTTTTTTGCCAAAACCATTAATTATGAACCCAGTCTACTTATTAGTATGGCAAGGTGACCCATTTGGCCGAACCCGATGCTGACTGGTGGCGGTGGCAATCAATGCTTACTTATAAATTAACATGTTAGCGAATATAATAGGTGTTCAATGTTCAGTCCATCTGCTTTACAAGGGGGAGGCAAAGCGGAGCCCCGAAAAGGAGTCGCTATTCTTTATTTTGTTTTACACCTGTGCTTCACACTTGAGCCCACTTTCGTGTTGGTAGTAGTTCACAAGTACATACTGATATGCTATATTGCAATATTAATTACAGAATGTTGGGGATTTTTGTCTCTATAATGGTAAAGGCTTTCCTGCCACTTAGGGAACACCAGAGTCCATCACCGTTTACTACTTCGTTACTGCACAATATCGCCAGATATTCGTTAAGGAGATAGTTGTACGACAACGCAGCCAGCCAATAAGGTTCATCGCACAGGCTTAACATGTACCTGAATCGAGTGTATTTTGAATATCGGTTGATTATGATTTGATGTTCTACTAATATGGACACAGCGGTCCTTCGTACAGTTAGCATGCTGAGATCCGCGCTTACGACCTCGTTTAAACTACGAGCCTATAATATTTGGATCCACCCCATGCAATGGTACGCAACGATCATTCTCGAGCCCGCAGGCCTAGATTTAGGTAAAGATATTTGATGATTTTTTTTTAACTATTCAGCAGTCTAATCCTATACAAGTGATTTTGTCGATGACACAATGAAACGTTTTGCATTTCCAGTAGGCTCTGTGGGATGTGGCATCTGTACGTCGAGGTGAGGCGAAGCGGGTATCCTAGGTTGTTTCCTAGTATCCGGTGATAGACATGCGTGATTATTTGCAGTTGTCGTACGACCTATGATCATTTCTGCTGCACTGAGTTGACCCGCTTCGAGTTAACCAGACTGGATGTTAACACCGTAGGCTTCACGGCAAATTTCATTAGGTTGTATTTTATCCAACGGCATTCATGAACAACATGTTTATTATTAAAGCACTTGTGTTTGCTTTGCAACGACAACTTTTGGTTTTCGCCGAACCAAAAATAACAATAGTTAGCTCTTTGGTTACTACCTGACAGTGTGAAACTAATTATACACGTAGCATGTAAAGCTTACATAACAGTATGTAAAATCATGTAGCCGGCACCTAGATAACAAAGATTTCGAGTGAAAAAAATTACTAGGCCGTTCTACGCCTCAAAGGTTAAGAAACAAACTTGGATTAGCGATCGTGAAGTTCATTGATTTCATGGCGATCAACAGAAGCATAGCTATGATAATCTATACTATTATCTGTTATTTTTGTATTTGTCTTAGTATTATAGTACTACGCAACTATAGACGCGTACTTCTTGAAACTTAAAATATATGAAAAGCCTTTTTTGGAACTAGTTACTTGACATCATATCTCGTTTTTGCTGTCATGCTTCCCGACAGCACGGTCTATGTTTATCGAAAACAGCGATACGTGGAATCTCACCGATCTTCGCTCTTTACTTATCCAAACACTGGAAGAATTGTTTGTAGTAGCGGCAGCAGCTCATGAATTTAGAACTGGTCACTTTCACCATCGGAACGTTCTACTGAGTCAACATTTTCCTAAACCTCACTCAACTCGTTTTTTTCCCACTAGGCCTGCTTCGTTATCATCGCACAATCCTAAGTGAAGTATAATACGCATTCTGAAGGCGGGATGTAGGTAACAGTGGAGAGGCAAGCGAGGGGCATTGCAAGAGCTGTGTCTCAATTTAGTCGATACGTGAGAGCAATTCTTAAGACAAGGGGGCGACAATCCTGCGCGCCAGCGCAAAATTTCACAGGTGTCTCAGAATCGACACTAACTTCCTCTACCAAGACGTATTCTCAATGTTGAATTGTCCTTTTTCTTGAGCTCACTTTGCCCCTTTGCAGCACACGTTTGGCGAATCTAGTGGAACAGATGCTTTGTCTGTGGCAGGTTAGGATGTTCTAAATAAGAATTTATGACGCGCAGTAGAAGCTTTGACAGGATTCGTAACAACGTATAAAGACCACCGAATAAACGCCAGATATAAGCAAACCCCACGAACCCATTATTTTACACTTGCTGCGGTCAAGGTCCACGAAGCCAAAGTAATAATGGCTGTCTTTTTGTTCCTTGTTCGTATTGAATCTAATATTGTCCGCAGTTTCTATCTGGATCCCCACCCTATTGACCTCATGCTACGAGAACACACCTATCCGTATCTACGGTGTGGATAACAGCAAGGTTTACTTATCGTAAAATTCCATATATTCTCATCATCCAGTGCACTGCGCGGGGTATTTTATATTAGCGTGAGATTTTCTTTTTGAGCCGTAAATACGTGCGATACATCATGATACTATTCTTGTGGCGTCGATAGCGAACGACATCTAGCTTGTTGCAGGATGGAATCCTCCCTGTCTTGGGTTGAAACACATTTGTATTCAGAGGTAAGTCGATGGCGCAACCATAAGGTCTTATGGTTAGAGCATATGAAACTAAAAACAGCTACTAGCAGGGGCGACAGGTCGAGAAACATTTTAGGTCGATGCTCTAACGCTTACAGAGACAGCAGATCGCCGACTGGATTCATTTAAAACTTTCTACCCATTTCCTTTATCCTCTATGGAGAGAACAACGTTACGGTACTTTCGGCGGTACCCTTCGATAATACATGTCAACATTATTTTGAGTTTCCTTTAAGTAGAAACACAACAGAACGCTTTGCACAAATTACTATTTGAGACAAAACGAATGCAAAGATTTCTTGTCACCAGCAATAGCACACAATGGATATCGACTATAGTCCATAAACAATGGGAAACGTCTTAAAGACTGACAAAATGCATAAAAATTTAATTCACACACGACAGGAGAGTTTACGTAATTTTCAATAGTGTATAACCGATCTGTCTGATATTATAAATACATTAAAGATAGAACGTGCATCAATAACGGTATAGGTGTTAAGGATGGATGCGTTTTGTCCTGTGTATACATAAACCGGGCAACGCCTTTATATATATATATATATACATTGGGTTATATATTAAATATAATTGGGTTCATATTTTCGAAATCCTCTAAAATATCGTAGATGCTAAATAACATTGTGCGAAGTACAGAGTCCAAAATTAACATGCCAATAAGCTTCGACAGCATTTTGATTTAGACCCGCAATGTTAACTAATGAACTAATAGGTAAAATTAATTAAAAAAAAAAAAAAAACTACAAGGTAAGGAGTGAGACAACAACAAAAAGCATCCTTTTAGAGTCTCTTGGCCCAAACAGTTCGTTACATTATATATATATATATATATAGAGGTTAAGTTGCTGTACTCGTGCCTTCATAATGTCCGCGGTTTGGCCTTAATTGAAGCATTAAGTCTTTGTGATTTCACTAGTTACTGCAGCAGCGGTAATACTCATGATGCTGTTGGATAATAAACAAGAAAATCACCGTTAATTTTGTGGATACTATTAGCGACTGCAGAAAAACTGTCATCTCCACATATACACTTATCGCGTTATCAAAGTAAGGGCGGTCTTTAAGGCAGAATAGAGGAAATTATTTTTTGTATTTTGCGCCAATTTGATATGTTACCTTTGCCACAGACCTATCACCGTAAAAATTGTGGTTTCTAAATATATGGTTGTCATACTTTTCAATGAAACGAGACTGACATATTAAGGTAGTTCTGCAAGGACCGAAGCAGACATAGTGCATGGTCCGGGCTATGCGGCAAATGTATTAAAATTTCCCATTCAAGCTCTTCCCATTTTCGGGGCAGTAAAAATGTGTGTATGGCCTAATATTGCCTGGGTGGCAAACGATGCCTTTGCCCCTTTGTCCACTAATTTCGGTCAGTTTTTTCCTGTGGCCTAGTGTAATCTTATTTAGCTGCTGATAGCAAAAAGCTCGAATCAATTGACTCGACAGGCAACACCACTTTATGAGACACCACCCCATTGTGATTTTCCGAAGCATGTGACGTCACTTTTTTTCCGACGTCAGTCGGAACTTTGCCGCAGATTGTGGACAACGTTTTTGTTACTTCTTGTACATTATTGGTGTATGTGATCGGCCTGTCATCACTAAAAATGACTTGACTTCATTGCAGTTCCATGGAGTTTTGCAATTTTTTGTCAGCATCAATTCATGCACCATCCAAACGTCGAGCTTTTCCAACTTAGCCAACTTTCTTCGAGTGGTTTAAAAGGTATTGGGCTACCGACATTTAGTTAGTAAGTAGTATTTTGACTAGTCGCGTGGCGCTCTGGCTGAGTTTCATAGTACCTTGTAATTGGTCGATAACTGCGGGGAACGTCCTGCAAATCAAACTTCCCAGAACAAAAGCGACACAATTATCTTAGAGCGTTTTGCTGATAACGCATTTCGACCATCAATAGCACAGGTTGTTTTATGGGCCTCGACAGGACGTTTTTTTCGTCGTGGAATAATAGAATATAGTGAACCTCTTCAAGAACAGACGCTTTAAGGTGCCCTATCTTATGTCTGAATAAAAATATTTGGAAAATTTTAGTTACAGTCTTGAACTGGGACCAACGCTGATCCTATACGCCTTAGATGACCTGACATATGTGGCTACAGAGCCAGCTAGCTAGAAATACGGTCGGTATTTTCCCGACCCACGTGTATACAGAGGCACAGCAACACGGCTAATTGTAGCGGACGCGGACTAGCTATCTGTCCGGTAGATGGACCCGCAATGGTGGGCTTGTCTGTTATATTATAATCTCAGAGCTAGAGAAAAGGGCAGACGATTCGATTTGAATGTGATTACCTAATAAACGACGCAATGCACGTAACGCTGAAATTGTCGTCGTTACTCTGTGTCGTTTGTTTAAAGTGACGATATTACCTAAGCGTCATTGTCTTTTAAGGGGCATTAAAGGCTACGTCTTAGCCGAACCTATGACAGCTACCTATAATCAAGTAAGTATATGTAACCAATCACTTGTACCCTGGTACATTTCGTGAGAAAAAAGGAAGCCACAGATGATCCGGCCACGGATACAATTTACATATAGATCTCTTCTGCACATTCAAGCGTTCTGGGACCGTCCGTGCAGCTAAAGGGATGTCGCTAACTGTTATGTATTTGAGCATCTGATCGCATAAAGAATGTATCGTACAAAGACCAGGCGATCAGTTACAGGTATTGGGACTTAGTGTTTTGTTCTTTCTTACTTAATTCTGTAAGGTATTCATGATCGTGTTTTATTCCTCAGCATTTGATTGTAGTGTGTCAGGGATCTGCACTTGAGCGAGCATCGGTTCAATCGTATGTATTGGTTGTACATCGGATTAAGTTGTTTCCCTAACCTCGACATGGTCACGGATTATTCCTAGCTAGAGTCTTCCTGAAAAATAGCGTATTACTCGGTATGAGCAATTAATCTCGCTGAAACCCAGTGTTGCTCCACTTTAATAGAAAGGGTCTCAAATGCTACGATTTCAAAACATGAAAAACAAATTAAGTGTTTTTGGAGGCTACAGATCCGTCGTTTCTACTTAATTTGCTTTCTGCTTCATGCAGCTGGCACTATTTCCAGTCGCAACGTCGGCTGCATGTTATATTATCATTATCGCATACCAATGCTGAACTTCAGGAACATTCCAAGACGAGGAACGGCCATGTTAACGATGTCCAATGAACAGTTTTGTCCGTATTCGATCACACCAGCCATGAAAAGCCCCAAAGACTCATAAAACATGTGTTTGGGGGGTATGAATCGTCGCGAAAGTATTAAGGTGAACAAATAGTACGGACGGCGCGTAAAAAAAATTACTACGTTAAGGTTACGTCACTTACTTACCGAGAAGGTCTTGATGACGTTTCTTTAAGATAGAATAATAAACTATTGGAAAAAATTATTGGAATGGCTCTAAAACGTATTCGCGCATATGGTCGTATGTTTTTGTTTATTGGACTAAACAATCGTGTTGATTTTAAACGTTTATGAATAGATATTACTGCCTACTGTAACACAATGACAATGTGTTTTATGACGAAACCCAGTCGGGCAAAAACGGCGTAGTAACGGCGATAGCCCTACTTCGAGACCGCCAGTGATACTCTCAGATCGTATCTTATTCGCTTGAGAAATCATTGTTTTTACTTTTATTTAATCAATAAAAGTATAATCATATGAAAGTGTTTTGACTAGTTCCTATATTGTTTATATATTGCGTCGATCATCACAGCTGCGTTATCCCTTAAGGTTGTTAAACAGAATTTTTTCTGTTTTACTTGCTTTAAAAGCTAAAAAAGGTCTGAAGTCTTTTTCAATCAGCTATTAGGCTTTTGGCTGAGCTACCAAATAAGTGAGCAGACGTCATTGAGTAAATACTAAGGACGAGGAGATACGCTTTATAAGAGGATGAAATTTGTGCTAGCTCAAAAATATACTTGAAAATATGTATTTGCGATATAAGATCAAATTTGTCACTACTTCCCATGACCATTGCTACCATTACCAGCAATTGTGCGTATTACGACACTGGTAAATCGTGTACCGAATCATCTGTTAGACGTTTACGTGCAAAATTGTAAACTGACAAAGTCTACAAATTAACTACGGTACGTATTTGAGCGCTTGTTCGGCGGTTAAAGCTTATCCCGACTGGCCAGGAGAAATTTCAATGAATATTTACTAACATTGGGCAGGCTTACATCGAGTTGCTCCCAGGCCACAAGGTCAGGCACCGCCTAATTATTTAAGCAAAACTTGCGGAACGAATCTGGTCCGAATCGAGGATGGTTTAAGTATGCTCTCAGATGATAATTAGGGGGCTTTTACATGAGCATGCTTTTGAAAACTTTACAACGAAAATGAAGACTTCAAACCACGAGCCAGCGCGAGAACAGGAATGACCCAGTCGATCACCCTTAGATTGTTTCTTCGTATCTAGCCGAAACTCCTACTAGGCATACATACGTGACATGCTTATTTATGATCACACTAAAAAGTAACTACAAACGTATCATACTTACCCCTATTTCTCTGTAATGCAGTGGTAGCGTGAATCTTTCTTTATAGAAAATAGCGATCCTTTTAGAATTAGAGCGTACATTGTTTATGGTATACTGTATATACTTAAAATATAATAGGGCGGATTTCCTGACGCTCTAACTTAAGTCTACATATCTACATTGGTGGCGTAATGTGTTATTAATCTAAGGCAGAACTATTCGTGGCGAACCTATGAATACCAAACGAATGAAGACAGGGTATAATAATATATTAATATCGAGGCTAAAATATAACGGACAACTTCGTCGGTATCATTGAAAAAAACGTCTGTTCTGACAGCGTCCTGAGAGCCGTTGAGTGAGAGACAGCGAAAGACAGAGAGAAAAAAGAGGTAGAGGCCAGAAATTGTGAGCTCGCGCGTTATTACGCGGACAGGCATCAGACCGTGCAAGACCTTGCGCTTGCCCCCGGCGACTAGCAAGCTTTTTTGTAGAAGTTTTTTGTTTCTAAAAACCAGCGTCTGATCCATAAGCAACCTCCTCAAGTCAGTAAATGAAACTAGGTTATACAGAACATAACCGCAGGAAACGAGAGATAGGCTGGTGTCAATATTTTTTTTTGCATAGCTCAGAACCAGTACATCCTCCTATCTACCCACTGTGCGTGGTGTGGCAGTTAACTAACTCAGACTGCGTGTTACGTTTGCACGTATTTGTTATGAGCTTTCGTCAGTTCAATTCTGTATTGCACGTATTCTTTAGATAGCTATTTTATGAGACTTAAAAAAACTTTCAACCTCTTACTAACATGCATCCGAACGAATGCACAGTGAGCCCTGAACTTTAATGCTATTTGTGGAGAACGCTAGGTGCACTCTATCGTTGTTGTACTGCCAGGCGTAATTGCAACTATGGCGACGCATATTCGAGATTGAAAAGCAAGTAATTGTATGCAAAATATCAAAACTTGAGTTTCCTCTTTTCATGCGTAACAAACGATTATCGAACGAAGCCATGCAAACGAAGATGATGCATAATTACCGCCGATGTTTATAAGTATCCCGTGTCACTAATACGTTCCACCTTCAATTTCTCAATCAGAGTCTGGTTGGCACCTGTAGCGGCCTTAGGAAGAAGCCGCTACTTTTCTTTTCTATGGAGCCAATCCTCTTCTCAAGATACCCTCAACTCCCTGTAGAACAATCAACAGAATACGACTTAAAAGATCTCACCCATTTTCCTAGCCGGAAATTTAGATCGAATGTCATTTTGATACTACATCTAAGTTTGAACAAGACAAAACGGGACGTTTTGTCTTGTTCAAACTTCAGCCGTTGATCCTGCTACTGTAGCTAGTGGAGTCACTGAACAGAGAGGTTTTGGTATGTCCTTATCCTTATCCTTATCCAAGAGATAACGGTTTCTGCCTGACGTCCCAGCGTTTCCTCGTTATGCTTGATGCTTAACAGGTATTGCCGGATATGGGGATTATACCAACTCACCCTCCTGTCTAGCTACGTGGGCAGTTGTATTTCGACGTTCTAGAAGAGAAAGTGCTCTGTCGGCTGTTCCTGTTAACCACATGAATTAGGCCATTGGCCATACTGGCACAATCCGTATTGGAGCATGCCGCGCGTTCCATGGGATGCCTCTAGTTAGTCGCTGTAGCAGGCTCATTCGGCGAACCGGGCCGCGTTCACAAATAAGATGCTGGTTTCCATATTTGTCGAACATATCTGGCTTACTACTGTGGTAGCCAGTACGCCACTTTTTCCTAGTAACGTTTAGCTACGTGCGATCGAATTGTGAGGTTAAAGCCTATTGAAGAGGTCAGGTATTGCCATTCATTTGCTCTCCGCGATACATGTTAATACATTACATATGAGAACTGAGCACTTTATAGCTATGCAAAACGTACTTTACCATATAGACAGTAAGGGTCGATCTTCTACGAGGTTTCAAACAGGATTGCAACAATCCGATGGGTCAATCGATTGCAACTTGTCATGGTTCACAATCCAATTAATGACAGGTAGTTCGCTCGTGTCCCTCGAGGTCTTGTGTCTGATAAATAGATAAAGATAAAGCTTTCGCAAGACTTCTAAATTTAAATAAGAGTGTTTAAAATACTATGTAATCAAACATAAACAGATTTTGTATATATTTTAAGTCATTATTTTTGTTCGATTCGAACTCCGAGTGAAGGCATTGGAACTTAAACAGCATTAAACAGGAGGGAAGTCAAGATATGGGCGGTAACAAACTGCATTAAAATTTATAGCAGTCTGCTTGTGTTCAGAAAAATGGAATATTAATTAACAGAGTAGAATTTGTTTCTACGGTAAATGTAATTTGTCATTAAATGTACTTCGTAGACTAGATACTGGACGTTCCGTTTATCCCGTACTGATAGAGGTGCATTTCATATTTGTGCACCCCAATAACGGAGTGGACTAAATACTAATTTAAAATCGATCGAGACTTAGATGTTCTCAAAAATTTACATTTTTCATATCGGTTCAACGCACATTTACGTCTAAGAAACCTGAATAGTAGCTTTTTTCCCTAATAGGGTACATAGCGTTCTCATAAGAGTAAAACATGGAATTATTTAGAATAAATTTTACGAGGAAATCTGTAAGTACGAAAATCGTTTATGAATATTACCATTAGATTCGAAATTATCCGATGCCTAATTTAATTTTGGTAAACGTATTCGAAATGGTTCATTGTTACTGTTTCGCCTGCCAGCCAGCCAGCCAGCCAGCTTTGCTTCGCTATGACAAACACATCGATAAAATGATTATGTCTAGTAGCTTTTATTAGCCGTTTAGATATTGTAACGGGTCATATTTTGATAGAATAAGTCAACTCTACGACGAGGAATAATCGGGTCTATAATTTCGCAAATCTATTCCAGCCAAATGCTTTTCTCCTTATCAGAAATTAATATTAATAAGCTGGCTTTAACTAAATAGAGACCTATTATCCGAGCATGAGCCAATTGCATTTTATGATTTTTAAAACTGAGGTCGTTTCCGCGTGGTAGTAATGCTGAATAATTAGATAACAGGGAAAATGGTAACTGTATTGTGTGCAAGAGCCGCTACCTTGCTTGATGTAGGAACTGAAGCGTACTGACAAATTAGACCATATCTGAATAAGTAATCATAAGCTTATCCTGTCTATGTGAAGCAAGGGTGAGTTCCTCTTGTATCCGTCATATCAATGATGTGAAGGTGGCACATGGTGCTTTAGATCACTTCTTTACATTTGCATGAAATTTTGTAAATATTACCAAAGTCGTTATACGATTTTTTCCCCCGGTCGCTTCAACACACTACGTAGACTAAATTAGTTCTAAGGTAATTCAGGATACACTCAATTAGCATGATTGGCATTTTTTTTATAATTCATATACTCGCTTAAGCCCACATGGGGTCACTACTACACGTATAATCAAAGTCCAGAACTCGGACCTTGTTATCCCATTGAATAATCTCGTTGCTATCTAATGATAGCGAATGCTGTATTTACTGATACGTCTTAATAACAGTACATTATGTAACTGAGAATTCGGTTCCCTGAAAAGGCAAATTACTTATCTAACTGAAAACCGACTTTGTCTAGAAATGATTTGCTGTAATTTTTAAGAAAACAAAATGAAAAAATACTCTACGGCTCGTTTCTACTATACTATAACACACTGCCCGATAATCCACAAGGTGTTCATTTTATTTTAAGTCAATATAAACAAGAATGACTTAAAGAAAATGATTTCAAGCGTGGATATTTGTAAAGCCTTCGAGGATAACTTCGGAACGACAACTAAATTCTTCATACGATCACGCAGATCAGACTTTGCTTGCAAATCAGTGACTTCGTATTTGCAAATACCGGTTTGCCTTATCTCTATAGTGATACAGCACGAGACAAGACTCCAGCAAATTCTGAAGTGATGTTTTACTATCTGTCTAAAATATGCTACATGTGAAGAAGTTTCGTACAAGTATCTAGGATTATGAAGAATATATGACTTTACTATATATGGCAATGCCAAACGATAACTCTTGCCAACGATATAGTCTATGCAACTTGTGTGAGTAAAGAAAGTTATTTTGTAATAATTTACAATTTTCATTATCTTTAACCGCTAACGAATCTATTTTACCTACGCTTTTCACGTCCTGTTTTACCGTTAAACATAACTTGAAGAAAATGGTTCCTGGTACCTAACAGAGTATGCCTAAGCCAGGTGTTGAACCTAATCCAAATTACTAATCGTTGATTTTAGCAGCCACACACACACGTTACCTTCGCACCACTATGGAAGCACAAATCTAAACCTACATTGTTAAGCTGAGCTGAATACAAGTGAAGATGATCAGGGTATGTATATGTACCTCAACATTAAATATAGGCTCTCTTAAATTGAAAACGCTTATTACCCGATTATGATCATGATAACCCATCTCAGAACAAGCAAAAGAGAACAACGAAAATCATAAAACACCAACAAAGATAAGTTTTATTTCCTTTCTTAGATATTTACACATAATACAGGAACTGTACATGTCATATATTGCCTAATGGCTTAGAAATGGCTAAATGTTAGCGGTATTTCGTTTTATAGACTGAGTAATGTCTCTATAATCTAGATCACACCACCTCCAGCTTCTTGTTCGAAACAGAACCTTCCATTTTCGAGCCAAATGGCAGCCAATCGCTTTTCTTAACCCATATTATTTAACCCAAGTTTATTGGGCTTTCTTCTTACAGGGAATACACAATCACGTTAGTTGGGTCTGTTCTTGCGACCTATAACCTACTACACATCATAGGTCATCCCTCCTTCTATCGTGCAGTGTAATTAATCGATATCCTCCTATATGACTCCTCCCTCCTATATGACTAATTGAACCACCACTAAGTGCAAAACAGTGTTCGCATTTCAACCCATTTACTCACTTGCTTGTTGGTTCATCATCTCTATTTGTTCTTCATTGGGATAATTATGTACAATGGAAAAGTTCGTATTACGAATCAATGTCACTTATAGGATCGTTCATATCATAGCTAGCCATTTTGTTATCAACACGTCGTAAGCCCAATTGCACCGTAGCAATCAAAAATTTTTAACCAAACTATAGGGTTTAGCGTACGTTGGTACTTGAGCTGACATGTTTGGGATCAACCCTCTTTGTTCGGTCGTACGTCACACCCATACTCCGTAATGTTTCATCACTTCGTTATCTTTTCGTTTTTTTTTTCCTTCAAAAATATCCATTGTTTCACCATATAACTTGCCTAACACAATTAGCAGTCCAGTATTTATAGAGCTGAGTGAGCATCACATGGACCGAAATTGTGCTAAATGTGTATGAGTTTCTTCTAATGATCTATTTGTTGTTGTTGTTGTTGTTAGCTCTACATGTGTTAGACTTACCGACAGAGATTCACTAGTGCCAAAATGTGGTACTACCTTGCTATAGTCCATGATTCGAAATAATCCTAGAGTCTGGAAATTCTGCCAGGGTGATATGCATCAGCCTGTGCGATGAAGTTACAGGCTTCTTGTCATAGTTGACGTTGCCATTGCGGCTGCCCCCGCCAATGTCATGATTCCTACGCCATCGTCGATCCCAACGCAGTTGTGTTGGTAATGCGAATCTCGACAAGAGCTGTAGGGCACAGCCTTGACCGTCCCGTGTCCCGGAGAGGGGCTGCTCGACCGCGCCTTTCGCACCTTCTTCGGCCAGCTTTGCTTTTTCTCTCTCCACCTCTTCCATAATTGTCATATTCGCGATGTGTTTTAAGCCCACAGCGGCATCAATTTCATTTCCTTGAACGTGCACAACCACCGTTTCCGTCATTTGTTCATCATCGGTACAGTCCGGCATCCCAATCGTCTTTCTGACTGTTTCTTTCTTAATTTTCATTAACATGCTAATTGTTTTCTTCGGACTGGGCGGCGGCCGCTGTCCTTCTCGCCGACCTGGCTTTCCTCCGAGGTAATTAACTTCCGGTTGGCTACCACGCCGGCCATGGCAATGTCGCCCTTGCTGCTCATACTGTTGTCGTGGATGCTTATCATCTTCCTCTTTTAGATGGTGTTTGTGGGCTCTCACTCTCCGGGAGCGAAGTCGCCGCTAACTCAACGCAAGTGCTCCGAGTATGACGATGCATGCCACGAGCGTACTCACAACAGTCACCGAAGCTCCTACACCTAAAATGAATGGTATGAATATAGATCATAAGGAGTATATATTTATTGTACTATCCTTAAATTGGAAATCTGCATATATTGTAGACAGTTATCTCGCACTAACGTATTTGCCTTATTTTTTTTCTTAGGCTAGCTTAGCTAGAGGAGCCTCTTGACGTTATTGAATACAGAGAACTTTTTCATAGTGCCTATAACGAATGCAGCTAGTTCTCACCAACGTGTGTTGTATACATCTAAGTATTTATATTCCATATACCACCCAGTTACTTGGACTGAATCGTGTCCATTCCTATACTTGAAAATCCTATTGAAAGTAGTCTCGATGTATCCAGATACACAATCAAACGCTGGCTGGCAACACAGATTCGGGGTAAACCCCAAATCACATAGTGTGTATATGCTCTCATTGGCTGGGTCACAGTAGCATCGAGAGTCCGAAGAGGTTCCAGCTGAGGACAGTCGAACGTTAAACGGCCGCAGGCAATGACGAGGCGAATCAAAAAGGAGTATTTAAACTTCTAGCGCATAATCGATGTCTAGCTGGACGCTGGCGGGTTAGTCCAAATTTAGGCCGTTCACTTGTTTTTTGTCTGTCAGTTATTGTGTGGATGCGCGAAAAAGGTGGGAAAGTTTGCAAATACAGTATGAGCATGAGGTAAATGCAATTGAAGCATATACACTATAAACTCAATTATACCTATGTCTTCTGTAGATGTTAGAGTTATTGATACTAACCTGATGTGAGCAGCTTTGACGGTGGCGAGATGGCCTGTATAATGACCCGAGATGGGTCAGAGCGGCCTTTTTCGTTAGCAGCAAACACTTGCGCAATGCATTCCGTGGCATCTGGGAGGTCTACTACCTGTGACGAAAATAACGTTCGATCGCCATATATCTCAAATGTGTTGTACGAGATAAACCGAACTCGAAATTTTTCATAGACAAATTTTTTTTACGCACAACATACTGAAGTGTTGGAGCTCTTACAAGCAGCTAATATTGCAAACACTACTGAAATACCTAACGGCGGTACCGAGCGTAAGGCTTGGAAAGCGTTTAATTTAGTGTATTGTAAAGTTACCATTTTTTACATAGACATCACTCAAACGTTTAAAACTATGTCTTAGCTGAATTTTCGGGATTAAACAGCCTTTTTATAACTAATGACTCTCAAATGAAGTCCACAGTTCAGCAGATCATTCATTCTCTAACCTGGAAGGCGGGCTCGTCTGAAGTGAGATTTGCGAGTAATTTCCCGTTGTCCGCGTTATACAATTCTAGTACATAAAATTCCTTAGATTTGTCATCCACCTGCCGTATCGAATCACATTCGAGGAAAAACCAGCTCTGCGCCTGATTTACTACCTGGCAGTTTTCAAGCACTGGCGGAACACCTGGATTCAAACGCGAAATAGGCGAAAATGTATAGGCATAGGCATAGGCATAGCCATGTACAAACAGGCGATCTAATCTATCTAGCATAAAAAAACGAACAGTGTTAAATACAGTTTCACAAATAACTTGCAAAAGTTTACCTGCTGCTTTGTTTTTGCTTGCAACATACAAATACATCGAATACGATAAGATATGCAGCCAACATCCGCAACACTTACCATAGGGTTCGATGTGGAACACGCACGGTTCGGGTTCATGTACCGAACTATTTATATAAGCGCTGTTATTGGCCCAACACTCGATAGTGAGTTCTTCGTTCAGTGAGGACGGTCTGTAGCTGAGCTGACTTGTGGTCTCGTTCATAACCTGATGCGCAGACGGGTGAAATACGTGCCATTCGTTTGAACCCGATGAGTTGTACGCTATCCACGTAAAGTGTAACCGATCCATTGCGTCCGCGTCCATCTGACACCGAATTGCCAGCATAGGTATGGTCCTTATCGAACCTTTGTTTGAAGCGCCGTAGCGGTACACTTTGTCTACCGATGGATGGCATCGTGGCGAATCTGTGTGTTAGGCATCACAGCAGAGAGCCAAAAACAAACAGATGTCGAAATCATATTCGACGACAGTGTGTATGTCTGAGAGCATTATAAGCACCTGTCTCGGCATAATTTTTCATTCTTTTTCGGGTAAAACCACTTTGATAGACAATGACAAAGAAACCGCGTACCGCTTTACATACTATGCGACCATGTTGACCATGAATACTTGGTTAACAAGCAAGCAAAGTGGCGATGCTAAACCTCTACCCGTTGTTATGGTAGTAATGGTGATAAATATTACTGGATATGACATTATAAAGGTGCTTTGACAAGACGGATCGAGGAGTCTAACTGAAAGAGCGGCTAACATGATCCTATTAAGTCCCTCTGGTCGGGGAAGTTATACATTTTCTGTGGCGCTCTACTTGCAATGCCACGCCACGTACACTACAACACAGAACGCCTCGGCATTTATAGCCAGATGAAACTCATCTATACATGTACTCACGGGAAGCATGAGCCAATACAAATGCGTTATTATTAGGCCTTGCCCTATTGTCTGAGTAAACAGCAGTTTTCTAATGCAATCTATCATAATTAAGCCTTTCCTGTTTTTGAAACGATATAAAATCAGGCACACTACCGTTTAGCTATAGATTCGTATCGCTACAATAAACTCCGACAAAATACGCGTATTTGATGCTCGCTTTTCATGGAACTTTTGTCTCCAAGTCCTGTCAAGTGCATCGATGTCTTTTCAGGGTAGGAACACTATAACACGGAACCAAACGTAAAGAGAGCAATATTATCGTACAATAACTTCCGTATCAGTAAACAGAAGTACGGAAATTGATAGTAACAAAATATAATTTTTCCGGGACGACTTCAGTGATGTGCCCGCCAACTTTTTGCGCAGGACTCAAAATAATGCTCAGGTCACAGGCCGCCTACGCTGTGCTAATGGGAAGCTTATACAAAGTAGCATTGTTAACACTGTATTTGTCATCATACCTGATTGATACGGACTCGACTAGGATTTAAGTTTCGATCAAGATCGCCACAAAGACTATAGAGTCTCACGAAGTCTGCGTATACTTTATCAATTATATCTGTAACAAACTCTTCTCCTATGCAGCCACGCCTCCGAGGATCACTTTTTTGATATCAAGAAACTTGCGTAAGAGGCTGAGGAGATTTTTCTGTAGATCAAGCCTTTGTTAAACTACAAAATAAGGCCGAAGTGGTGAATTCTGTCAAATGGAAAAAAAAGAACATGAGATGTAAACAGTCGAAGCCTTATGCCTTGCTTGAGTGAGTTCCCAATTGTGCACCATATATACCGCTGTGCAGCTAGTTTTCGTGAAACCGCAACAAGCATCATCTAATAGCCCTCGTTAGGGCAGTTAATATACAAGGCAAACCAGTAATATAAAATTAGGTTACAAGACTAATGTATGCATATGGGCATTGTAGATCATGCGACATTTAAAAAGGCCAGACATTTCCTGTTTATGACCTATAGATTTGCAGTATGGTTGTACGCGTCGACGTTCAATAGATATTTCGTGCACGTTGACCAGAGATATACTATCACTAATATATGTATATATAGGTTGAAATCTGTTTAACGTGATTGGCCGGCTACTTACATCTAACACGAAGGTCGAGATCGTTCGACCTCACCGATCCTAAAGGATTGGTGACGTCGCAATTATAACGTCCATTATGCTGGCCAGCAGTAACGTTTTGGAGCATTAATCGCGTCGTAAAACGATGTCCTGGCTTAACCAGCAATGCATCCGTGATGGTGGTCGTAGCGGTCGACGAAGGCGTAACCAAGCTGGAATTGCGTCTTAAGGTGTTATCTTCTAGGAGCCGGTCGTTAAGAGTCCAGAACACACGTGTGACCGGCGGATTAGCAATAATGACGCACTCAAGTATGACATCTTGGCTCTGTGAGACGACGTGTATGTTGGAAGCCTCGTGACCTCCGACTCCTCGTAGGGAGACAACTGGGGCATCTGCAAAATCGAACGATTTTACGTACAGAAACATTCATTTATGTACATATTTGACGTTGTTCAACGGCCACGTAAACAGAATCTTACTGGTGCAACGTTTTCGCGCTGTGTACTTCGGTCGCCATAGTCGCCTGTGTTGAGACGAGTTTTTATTTTCGATACGCACATTTGACAAACGCCGACTTTCTTAGTTCGATTTTTCGAGCTTAATTTAGGGCCCCACTGCGACCCTAACAGACAGATGCGTGTGTGCAACGGACACTCGGAGCTGTCAGCGCACATCGAAGATCTCAGGAAGAGTGCCTGTTCCTAATATAGTAACCTAATTGACAGGACGGCCTCTAGTTGAACTGCGTCAAGGAACATGTGTACGAGACACTTACGAATAATATTTAGCTGAATCGAGTCCTCCCAGGTGCTTCCAGGAAGCTGGTGATTTGTTACTCGACAAATCAGCTTCTGTCCATTTTCTATCGGGCTCATTGTCAAGAGGAGGGTCGATACTGTTGTGTTACCTGAAGTGTATAATGTAGGTTTATTGGTACGAGTGTTAGCTCCTATAGAAGGTGTCAGAGATGTAGAAAAATTCAACGCATCATAATATAGGCAGGGGCCGACTTCTATCTGATCTACGTCAGTGGTAATACTACGTCAGAGTTAAACTTCACTCTGCCAACAGCAGCGCCTACATACGGGTTAAAGTGAAACTAACAGACGTTCACATTATAATAAATGCATAATACGTTTATTTACAGGGTACTTTCTAGCTGTACATGGGGCAGTTATGAACAAGTAAGCCAAGCACACTTCGTTGGAACGAGCGTACTCTAAGTGGGGATTAAACAACGCGTTAACCTAATGTGTACAAGACTGCATTTGGAAAGCCTAGAGAGGACAAAGGATGACATAGGTTCGTCCTGAGTACAGAAATTTTCGAAACGGTATTTCGGAAATTAGGCGAAAGACGAAAGATCTAAATTTTATGAATACTTCAATTAATTTTATGATCATAAATAACATCGTTTGAATAAAAAATAATTTTCAAGAGATTATTGTAAACGATGATAGATGAATGCCGAAGTGTATGCCAGATGTTATGAGCTCCTAAGGAAATAATCGATTATAATTGCTTTTATTTATTTTATATTAGATATTGATTTATAATATCCAGAAATTCGAAAAGATGCAATCATAAATTATGATCACCCACTCGTGTAAAATGGCTTTACATTAATTATTCATGCATGTCTCTAGTCTACCGTAATGATTTTTAGTATGAATCTTATGTGTCGCTGCTATATTTCTACTAGTCTCATAGAATCACAATGTATAGTTTGCAATAATATTTTGTTGAACTGAAGCTTCCCTGTACCTGACGGTCCCTCTGTAACCGATCTCGCAATCCATCTAAGATGGAACGGACATCCCGTTGTTGTGATGCTGGGTAACGCTGGCCCATATCCGCCGTCATGATATGTTGGCCATGCCGATACAGCTTTTCCGATGCTGCTTACACTGACTGTGTCACAGGGGTAGACCTGGACAGCTTATACCGGTAGGTGCTCAAACGCTTTTCCAAGTCGCTAGGCAAAGTGAGATACGAAACTCATTCATGCATGTCGATCAAATAGTCCTCGTGAAGCGTCAACGCATGCCGCGGTTTACCACCAAAGCCCACTAGCTTGTTTCGCAAGGCAGGCTCGACCGACACGCGCGCTTCGGAGGCCGTTAGCAAAGATGACAATGTCGCTTTAGGTACCATGTAGCATGATTCAATAAAGAAATCGTACACCCAGGCGGGCGGGCGGGCAGCGGCCAAAAACGACGTCAGGGTGGATGAAAGCGAAGAAGGCTTCGTCGTCATGGCAACAATTTTCCACTAGTCTTTTCCAGTTTTGCTAGATGAAAAGCTTTGCCTTCATGTGGCAGACACGGCCATGGGAGTAGAGTACCTCGATCTCAACTGTTGTCGAAAATAGTCTCTGCCCAGCGAATTAGAATGAGTCGTGCGCACTGCCATATATACTTGTACAAACTCGTTTGTTATGTCGCAGTCATATCCGTTAGTTTTGGCGGAGTGAAGCATGATCAGAGCACTGGACGTATGAGCAGTTAAAACACTGCTAATATGTAGATACATAAGCCTCCCCCTAATTGAAGTTATTATTATAACTCAGCATGGCAACATGGAACTTGTAGCGTTCGGAATCGCTGGAGAAATAGTAGCAGTACTTTTAAGGATTTCGCCAACAGAACGAATTGGTCCACTAGGCATACGCGGCGCGCTTTTCAAACTTACGCTAACTACAGCGACGCAGCTGCAGTAAGTAAATGGCAGCATCCATCTTCTGCCTTTACCTATTATGCAACACTACACTGTGTAGATTTCTGTTATGGAGCTATTGAAGTATTTTATCGATTCTGGCCAGTTGATAAACCATGTTAAAGTTGGACCAAAGTCCGAGCTTTTTCTCATAGGAGATAGTGATAATAAAGAAATCTCATACACCATGAGTGGACGACTTGACTCCCCTAATGACATCCTCTTCGAGGCACACGAGGCTGTTCGAGTCTCAGACTCAAAGCGGCGTTATGTGAATAGTCTGTGCTGCGGAAAGTCAGGTGTACCAACAGGAACTTTAAGTTTAGATTCAAATTTCCTTAAACAGCCTTCCTACACTGGAAAGCTATATAGTTGCTGAGTGAGTCATTCGTGGCATGCTTGGGGAAACTAGGTGGTTAATTAGGTGACCCACTCAAACAAACTAACTTTTAAGTTTTTTAGGTTTTTTTTTTAGAGAATCTACTACATCGTTCAAGTCATTTCATTACTTTGCTGTGTTCTCACCCGACTACATTGGTTGAACCATTTAATCATGTAGTTAAACTTAGCAGAACCGCTCTTTTTCTTTGGTTATTCATTTACCGGTATTCAAATGCTCCATTATCGTGTCCTAGTGTCATCCTGTCACTCTATAGCAGGTGTCTGGTACTTCTGTCACAATTATTGCGTATTCTCGTTGCACTGAAGCCGTCACTGTACCATCCTTGACCTTTTATCCCTCGCCATCGTTCGCCTATTTTGTTAAGGTGAATAGTTTACATTTTTTAAATTTCATGTAAATGTTAAGAAACCAAACAGGCAATTAATGTGAAAAAACCGATATCTTTTAGAAATTCGTTAATCGTTGCTTGAAGCCATCATTGTCACCACGACATTCGACAATTCCAGTAGAGCAAATCCGTGTTTTCCTGCTAGCTCAGTTGCGTGCTTATTGCGTAGCCTACGAAAGGCGGCAAGATTTCTGCATCACGCAGTCTCATGTCTTTTGTGTGTTACACGATGGGCACACAACCGGATTTTTGGGGGGAAAAAAAACTGATTTTCTGCCTATGAGTCTAAAGCCAATTGTACGCCTTTATTTTAATAGAGTCCGCGTTTCGATGCCTCAACAGCTGTAAGAAAACTGCCCAAAATGTTATTTCTCAAAATTTACATTGAAGTTTAAAGGAAAATATATGACGTTTTTAACGTTAAAAGGCCTTCGTTTAGAATCCGTGTTGCTTTTGCTGCACTGTTCTCGTGTCAAAGAAATACCTGCGTGCAAAATATGACGAAAATCAGTGCAGCCGCTTTCGGGCAGTTTGGTAATACGTACAAACTCGTACTGTTTAGGACTTCGAATTGCACCTCTAGATACCCAACGATAACGATTTATTGCTAATACGTTTAAGAAGATCAACAAGACGAGAGGCGTCAATAAATAACAAGCGCATTCAAAAGACAATCAAGTACGGGCAAGTATGGTTGTAAAGATGCTACTTACCATCGTCCTCGTCGCTGACATGGCTGAAAAATGCTTCAAGTTTCCTCGTAGCAAGCAACCATGTGACGACTGGAAATGGTCTGGAACCAATTACACGACAGCGAAACTCTGCCTGAGCACCCGCTGAATATGAGATACCGCCGTGTTCCACCTCTACAGACAACGGAGGCACTATGGGGGATTTGCGTGAAAAGGAAGATTACAGAAGCATAAGTTGTCGGCTACAACGATGCTATCGTGATCTGTAGCTCGCATACAAGTGTACTGCTAGCAGATAGATCTGAAGTGATTGGGTCGCAATTCTAGAGACAAGCAACGACCCAAAATATAGTTATAACGGGAGAAACGGGATAATGAGAATGAATGTATCAGTAAATTGATTTGATAGGACAGAAGCGTGAGTCTTATTTGCAATCATTGCTCTGAATCTGAATGTCTATCTGGCAGGAAACGCCAATTAATCAAACTAGAAAAACTTTACCAATTGTTCTTCTTCCCATTCGGAAATTGGCATTAGTATAAAATATTTCGTATTAGATGAGGAGAAAAATTCAAGAAAGTGGTATTGTATTAACTTTACGTCGTGTGCTTCCAGTGATCATCAATTGTGAAAAGAAAAACTTCTTCCATGTTCTGTCGAGCTACTTCGAAACGCCCGTAGGAAAGTTTCCTATGACACGGACTTGCGCAGATACCGCAATTCTGGGATGCAACTTCTGGCATAGCCCTTAATTTACAAAACTTTAATGGTCAAGTAGTCGAGACAATAGTTGGTGTGGCTAAAGGGGGTTTAGTTTAGGAACGTATAGTTCAATTGTAAAGCTTGCATAGAACGGCTCCTTAACATACGGCACAACCTTTTTCTTCATTTTGATGGTTATGCTTCGCTCTCTTAACTCATTTATGTCTTTTTCTAGCTTCGTCGCTAGTCGTCTACATTATGGCGCAGATCAGCGAAAAAAAAAGCCCTCCATTATGAATCGCTGAAAAGCGACTGTTAACAGTTCCGTAGCTAGTGCCCCCCAGGCAAAAAGGTTGGTTCAAGCTTTTGTTGTTGAACCTAGTAAAGCCAAATGATCTTCTCGATGTCAAACAACGAACGGAACCTGCCTCGGATGAAAGTGCACGGCAATAACGAACCCATCGAATTTCTTTATTGGATAGGACTATATCATTCGAGCTCTCAGAACCGTATCGACCTATCGCTGTCTCTGCCCCCTATTTAGACATTCTAGGAGGCATGGCACTCGAGGCTAGAATCATTCTTCAAGAAGATTTCGACTACCAATTCGAGAGCGCGTTGCCGGAATGCGGGGGTGCAGCTAGCGTTGGCTGTCACGTGACTTTTCTTCCTGATGACGTTGGAACTTCTTAGGCAGGACGGCCATAATCACGGGGAATCATGGGAATGAAAATTCTTATCAGGTTTCACTGACACGAAGAATAATGGACATGAGCTGGCTTCTAGATACGTAAGCGTTGGATGAGAGCCAAATTACCAGCAAGATTCGTAGGGTTAGCATGTTTTAATTAATACGAACAAATGTCTACGTCACTACTAAATGTCAGACGTTACGGATAGCTGTTTTAAGCTAAGGGGATTCAAAAATAATTTTGTGATAATATCAAACGAGTAATCTTACTAACTGTGGAATTTTGCGTAGAGTAAATGTAGACTTTGGGTGCTACTCCGAACCAAGTTACGCTTAAGTGATATGTAATTTCTATTGTTAGATAGCTTAGCATACAGGATTTAACGAACAGCTTCAGTGTAAGCACATTGTATGTGATTGGGGCTATGACAACGTTTAGCTACTCCTATGGAGTCGTTTATAATGCGTATTAAATAATTCATTCTTTGAGCTATTCCCGTTTTCGATGAATAAGCCTGCTTTAAGGACAGCAAAACGGTCCAGCTTGTTCGTCATCTGCCCAAACTGCGAAGGACAGCCGTATTGTCCAAGTAAACAGGTAAATAGTAAAATTAAGCTTATTTCGATGTCGCTATTTGAAATAATGAGGACCTCTACTCTCTGTTGGCAAATTGATGCCGGTCAGATGTGACTGAGCCACTTCTCACGAAACTCACGGATAAGGTCAATGGTTATAGCTGTTTCAAGAGGTTGTTCGCTGATCTCGTTGAACGCTTCGCAACTGAATGTAGCACGCAGTTCATCTCGACCAAGACGCCCCACGTCGAGAATTGTATGTGCTCCATCTGTCCGAGGTTGAGCTATGACCCTGTACTTGCTGCTGTTCGACGAAATGTCCCCTCCGCCCTCGTCGGGGGTGTTTGCGTCGATGATGGGGATGCCATTGCGCTTCCACACTACTGTCGGAACCGGAAGACCTAAACCAAACGAATTGAATGAAGAAAGAATTCAGCGCATGCGTAGAAAAGTATATCTATATATAGTGACTAAATGCACTATCATTGGCCATAGATTTGGCATATTAAGTTCATATATATGCGACTAATAAAGGTTTACTTCTGGCTGGATTGTTGTTAATCTAAACGAATATGAGCGGAGGTTAGTATCTGAAGTACACTATCATTCGATTTCAGTATAGGGGCATACTTATTGGATACTTCTATTTGTCCTCTACTAACCGCAATAAATCAGCTATCTATTTAGTGAACCGGAGCCGGGGGCTTGCGGACGGTGGGGTACAGCTAAGCAGAAACCTCTCGGCAACTAAGAGAATATGGACTGAGTAAATAGTGTATCACGGTAAATCTATTCACCCTTTTCAACGATGCAATTGATTCGCAAATTGTGTCCCACATAATACGGTCCGATCAGTGACGCAAGTATGCTGCCTTCGCCATCAGTTAACAAAGGCGTACTCGTGGATACTGTCAAAAGGTAGGAAACGATACGATGGTTAGAAGGTCTAGTAAAAACAACAACGAAAATATCACCGTCTGATCATATATAAACTAAAATGAAGGAAATAAGTTCGCTTCGAATTGAACTTTTAAAAAACTAAACTAAGGAAATCTACCGTTACCGTAGTCGTCCTTGATTTTCTCCTGCTGTCCGAAAGTTACGTTTTGAATACGTTTATTCCACTGTCCCAGTAATCACACATACACCGATTCACGCAGTGCAGTGATAAACTTTACGATCTTTTTCATATGACGGCAAGCGTAGAGGGTTATGGGCCCGGTAACGGCCCATCCAGCCGCTGCGATCGTCGTTTCGCATAATGAAATTCTGCAGAGTTTAAATATATGAGGCTATCTTTCCAGCGGCTGCCTTACTTTGGGGACGCGACCGAATCTCTTAACAGTAGCGACCCCTGCCTATTCTGCTCAAAATAAATATCAGTGTCTCAAGGGCGTCAGTTTCTTCTTGTTATATCTACTATAGCTCGAGCCTACCAACCGCATAACTGTGAACCCAATGACTGGTGCCAGGTTTTTTGAAGAAACGTTCGTACAGCCTTTCATTCTCGTTTTTGTAAACCACTTCATTTACAAAAATAATTTCAGACGAATCAACGGGGTAGTTAGTAAACTCGTCTCAATTGTTCGACTCCGCAGTAAATAGCAGGCTTTATACAGTCTAGGAAACAATACCCCACAGAGGGACATATAAACTGTATGCACGTAGAATGTTGAAAGCATTTAACTTCTTTTTTATATTATAAGCATACGGGCGTGCGTGCACCCGTTTTGTTACCATATGTTTTTGCAGTCCTGTTTAAAGGACATGTCTGACAACTCTTCCAACAAGGGGAGCGCCGGTACAAACGAGATTCCCTGATGAATCATTTTAACTACAGGCCGTAACATTATTTTAAGCTCTGTTCAGGAAAATTGAAGAGCTTTTCTGAGCCCATGATGTCTATTTCATCGGCAAATAATCTAGACCTGGTGCATTTAGATACCGAACCAGGTTGCATTGACGCTCTCCTCCAATGAGCCGCCTCGACTACCAGCGTAAGAAAGCACTCTTCCTCACCTTTATCTTACGTGAAAAAAAAATGAAAGTGCTGTTATGACCAGCTAATCGGCGATGTTACGCTCAGTAGAACCAGCAACAACAGTCCGGCAGCCTTAAAAGTAGTAACCCAGGCCCATAACGGAGCATCGGGACTAGACTCCAAATATAACAAATGTGCCGTTTTGCTTGGATATACCTTGGATCTGGTATAAAACCGCGGACACTGATACCAGCTAGCAAGGAAACGCTGTATCTGTTTATTGATTGGCCTTACTCGATATTGTACGCAACAACAACAGTAGTGCAAGTAAGAACCTTAACACTGAAGCATTACTACTAGGGCGCACTTCGAGAGAAACAGCAGGCAGACATGAAATCAAAGCTTGCGAGTGGCGGAACCATTTTGTAAGCCTGCACGTGGTAACTAGACGAGTGTTTTCTTATAATCTCAGCCCAGTATCTGAGATGTATCCATGCGAACGTCTTCCAAATATAGGGGCAGGCGCACAAACAAAGACTTGAAGTCTTTGTTTAAAAGGCACTGACAATAGTGGAGCCGGGCGACAAAATAGATACGGCCTTTTGAGACTTTGCGGTATGCGGTGCCTTGGCCTGCGCCTTCAAGGCTATATTGAATCTTATCATGAATTATTATTTGGTTTCGTGGTATTGCTCATCAAAGCAGCAAGAACGCCGTGTGAGATATTTAGAAAAGTGTGGCGAAACTTCTTTTCGTAGGTGCTTTTCGGATCTTCACGAAAATTTGTAGATAATGTTAAAATTAGCTAATCTTGCCACGGTTTACGACGGTATGCGACTCAGACTAGATTACCAGTATATTACTAGATGGCACGTTAGTTATATTAATTGAAACATATCGTCGAAAAACGTATATATATATGCTTTGTCTCTCTAATAATATTATTCTATATAACGTTTCGTGCTAAAATCTTGTCTTATTTAGCCCAACTATGATAAGCGCATTACTTGTGTCTGTTGACAGCCTTCAATCCCAACAAAAACAGTTGCGTTCGCTGATAGAAAGGTGCCGCAGTAACAGATTGTTTTTCATTATCGTGGCCCTTTGTGAGAACCAGGCAATCCGCTACACAAACTACGTATCCCAAATTGGTCCATAACTTACGAGATGATTGGCAAGCAGAATAAGCACAAAGATATCGTGAAGACAACAGGAAAATTGAATTCTAACTAAAGAATTGAATTCTGAGAGAAGCGATTTTTGTTTTCTGTCTTTTGATTTACAGTATGGCTCCCACTAAACATGTGCTGATGTAGCTTATATCGTCATGCATTTTCAAAAATTAATCATAGGCCAAAGTCATAAATAATATATTTTTCACCATATATTACTAGATCATATGTTGATGGGGGCAAGCAAACGTTTCTTGCCGTGAGTTATCTACCACCCTGTTGTTAAGAGTCATTTTTTCTACAGTTACAAATACATCCCACTATACATACTACAATAGCCCGTTGTATGCGCACTGTTGTGTATGTGCATCAAGTTCATCTTGACCCAATGTGCATAGACAATGTACATTGTAAGATGAACCGATAAAGGCTAACAACTCGTTAGGCTCAGACGCCTTTGAAGGCAAGACAACAAACGAAGTCAAAGAACAAACTATCGAGTCACGAGCAAACACCTTATGTCCTATACGTCGAATGATGTCTTCTTCTTTGTAATATATTTAAGTATTCGTATAAAAGCCCATTTTGTTTTCCAAAGCAGCAATGGAACAAACACAACAGGCTGTAACAGTTCATATACCCCAAAGAAAGCGAAACTCAGAGAATAAACATTCCGGAAGAATTCTTACATACAGATAGTCGATACTAGAGGAGAAAAAAAAAAGAGATAGAAAGCTGTAGGGAACATCACACAAATGAAAAGCCCCAACAAGTAACATAATGGAGGTGTAATAGACGCACGAAAAAGTGCACAAAAATCACACAAAAAAAAAATCGACGCATGTATAAACGGTCTGTTTCCAAAGATTGCCATCGCGAGTACGAAAGATCAGCATGAGCAGGATCAATGAAACCTACTGCCAGGAAACAAGCCATTGCCAACGAGAGAGAGGCTGCTCATGCGTATGCGAAGTCAGGATGACTCGATGGGGTAGAGAATATGGTGGGTCTATGCTGCAGGAAGACGAATAGGCAAGTGGTCTCAATGGAAGAGATGAACGGAGCGACGTAGCATCATCAAAGTGAATACTGGCCACATTTAAATTTATTGCAAACACTAGAATGTAAACAAAATAGTGCCTACTCAGTGATGTCGGGTGCTCTCTAACTGCTTGACAGATGAATCCGACGTTATTTACCATAGGCAATAATCTTAGGGAAGTCTGACATCTTTGACCAAGCGCCGGTAAATTTTTTTTGTGGGATCTGAATTCAATTTATCAAAAC